TGGAGCGGGGCTTTGACCACCTGGCTTGCTTGAGCCTGTCCTTGATGACTTGCCACGCCTTTGCCAGATCTCCGTGTAGGTGCTCTGGCCAATTTGCAAAACATTGCCGGTAGACCTTGATCTGACTTGCAAAAGCTTCATGGTCCGGGTCCTTGTGCCTTGGCTGCATGTCGTACATGGTGTCCATGTTTCCCGTCCTTTGCATGCCCATTTGTCCAGCCAATTGTGGATCTGAGGCGGAGCCGGGTTTGGGGAGCCATGCCCATGGCTTGGTGCCCCCAACTGATGCCCGCTTGGACGCCGCCCTTGTACAATTTGAGCCTGATTGCCCGTTGTGGTATCTTCAGGTTCTTGGATGCCTTGCTTCTCCGACTTCTCATCGTTTGGATGCGTCTCAAGCGGCCGGCAGTGCAGTCTACACCCAGATCCTTCATCACATCGTGGACCTTTGGACCATTGCTGGGTAGCTGTTGCTGAAGGAGCCTGTTGGCCTGGACATTCGAGATGATGAAACCCGTCTTCTTGACCGATAGTTTCAAGTTATCTTCCTCGAGGAGCTCTTTGATGTAGTTGTAGGCTTGGATGGCTATGCGTACAGCATCTTCCACGTCTCTATCAACAACATCAAAGCTGAGGTCGTCGATTCATAGGTCGGTGTGGAGGAAGGGATTTTTTTGCAAAAAGCTTTCAGGGCCTTTTGCAAATAGATCTTGGCTGCAAGTGGTGCTTGCGGGTCACCAGCCAAGATGCCATTCTCAGTCCACATAGGTGGTGAGGCTTCACCTTCTAGGACTCTGGTGCCCAGGTAGATTTGCATGGCAAAGGCCGCATGAGTGCCTGGGTGCGTGAGCCATCTCGCTGCTAGCTTCTGCAGGTTGATGCGGTCGTAGAAATTGGACATGTCCAGGAGTACTGAGATGACCGTCTTCTTGAGGGCATGGCTGCGCTCAGTGACAAAAGCCCTGCGCAATGCAACCTGTAGGCATTCTGCGCCTGGAATTGCTCTTTGCCACGGGTGTTCTTCTTCAAGCTGGTTCTGCCATCCTTGGTGTAGTTGTTGCCTAGTCGACACCAAAGCCTGTACATGGTGGCCACTAGGGCTATTATGGGTCGTTCAATTTCAGCTGTTTTGGGAAGCGTTGCAATGAGCGCCACCAGCCATTGATTTGGGACCATGGCCGTCTCCTCAATCTGATGATACATTTCCACCAGGTCCTTCATGGCAGCATACGGTAGAGCCTTGAGAAAGTCGAAGCCGACTCCGTCCAGTCCAGGTGCTTCGTTCGACAACTGCCGGATGGTGTTGAGTGAGCGGCTGCATTGTGGCCGCATGCTCTTTCGCCTTTTCAATCATGGCTTCCAATGAACTGACCCTGTGCTCACTGCCTCTGATGCCCCAAATTGTTCCCCATTGTTGGGCTCGTTTTTCCATGCGTTCTTGTCTTGGCAATTGCTGGAAAGGTCTCTGGAAAGCTTGCTCATCCCGCTTCAGACATCTGAAAAGCCCGCGATGGCCTTTGAGGGATGCCTTTGCCATTCTCTGTACATCTCAGTCTCTGCGGCAAAGCTCGTACTTTGATGAAGTTCTCTTTGCTCCTTGGTATGTTGAAGTAGGACTTGAAGGTGTTCAGGTTCAGGTTGGTTCCAAACCATGGAAAAAAGCAACTGGTAGTTCTGCCTGGGGATGCCAGCTTCATCATGCCAGCGCTGATCTATGCGCCAGCTGAGTTTCGCAAGGTGAGGGAGGTCTCGCAACAGATGAGCTGGTTTGTGTTGGATTTGCTGCAATCGTAGTTCAACTTGATTCCAAAGGCCATGCTTCCTTTCTTCCACAACCAGGCCTTTGAAGGGTCACCCGAGGCTTTTGCTGGAACTGCAGCTTGATTCCTCTTCCTTCTGTGGGGTTTTCCGGATTTTGCAAGACGTATCTTTCAATCTTGCTGTAGACAATTCCGGCCTGTCTGCTTATCTGGTTGCCCTCAAAATCCAGCCACTGCACTGATTGCTCCTTTGGCTCTATCTGACTCCATTCTTGCGTCATCTGCTCTAGTTTTGGCGCTGGATTGTATCGCGCGAGCTGCTTCACAGAGATTGGTTCCAGAGTCAGACCCAGGTGTAGAAGGAGTTGAGCATGTGGTCGAAAGGGCACTTCCCAACTGGCCTGGATGGTCAGGTCTGCACAGATCTGGTTTGTAGCTAGAGCCCAATCCAGCTCACTGCCTGTATTGCATGTTTCTTCACCTGTTGCAACAACTTGCACCTGCATTACTGTGCTCATGGTCGTGGCCATGAACTCGCCCGGTGTGATGTTGAAGTCACCAACGATGATGCACCAATGATTGACACAAGTGACGAAGGTGATTAGCCCTGCCCACAGTGCTGCATTTGTCTTACCTTGCACACCTTCCCCACACTTGAAATACGCACCAACCAGGATGATGTTGAAGTGATTGAAGCTCCACATAACAGCATACCACCCACACCCATCAATCATCTGATGCTGGACGTAATGGATGCGCTAGTGCGGTGGGAAGATCAGCATGATGCCTCCATTTGTTCCTCCTTTTGGGCTTTCAGCTGCTGCATATCCCATTGCACTTAGGCCCGGGGAGCTGAACCATTGCATGGTCCTGAAATGATCTTCTTCTCCAAGATGTGTTTCAACCACAAAGATGGGAGTTCTTGGACGGTCCCCCACCCATTGTCGAACTTCATGACCAAGTGACGTCACATTGGCAAAGGCAAAATCAATACCTTCTTGGCACCGTCTTTTTGCATCTGGCTCACTGCTTACCACGTTTGATTGACTTGTAGGAAAATCACATCTGAGATGTTCTGGCAGCAGCTGCTTTGATGGGATGGCCCAAACCTGCACTATCTGCTGTTTGATATTGTCTTGGAGGTAGGGTAGGGCTCGAGGATAAGCACCGTCATCCACCAGCCAGTACAAACCTCTGTAGATGAAAACAGCATAGAAGTGGCCACTTTTATGCCCATCACCAGTGTGACAAAGAAGCCCAACCAAAGAGTACTGCTCTGTTCTGGTTGTCTGCCCATCGTAGCACACTGGCAGATGGAACATGGACGGCACTTGTAATGGCAGGTGATGTTTGGTCCATTCCCCTTTGGCATGGGTGTATCTTCCAATTTGCGCCACCCATGGTCCTTCCCCTGAGAGCACTTGCCCTTCCGCCGTGTTCGCCCATTTGGAAATCAGGGTCTCAAACTCTTGCCCTTCATTCTCAGGGAAGATCAGGTGAGTGGGGAAGTCATTTCAAAGATGAATTTCCTGTCTGAAGTCTACGTGGTGGTACTGTCTGATCACCTTGTTGGAGTCCGAGAGGCGCACCAATTCCTGAACAAAATGAGACGCATCATCCTGGACCATGTCATCGAATTGCTTCCACAGCGGCTTGAGGGTTGCCAGCGTCGTGATGTTGACCACGTCCAAAGCTGCCATGACTGCTGCCGTTGTCCGCTGCCAAAGCTGTGGGCCTTGAAGAAAACTCCCCGCCCAAGCCCATAGCCTGAAAGGTCCATTTGCAAAACACCTGTTTCGGTAATTCCCCAACCGGCTTTGCAGGTTTTGGACCACATAGTCCAAACTGGTTTGAACTCGATGTTCTTGTTCCTCTGATTGTGGGTCAGAGGCCTCATAGTGGGTGCCCATGTCGTCGTCCATTGTGCCCAGTCCCCCGCAAAAACTAGGGAAATGGTCTTCTCCCTTGTCAAAAAATGGCTTCTTTTCAGAAGCCTTGTCCCCAAGGCCAGGCCACTGGAGCGCGCCCCATGTCTCCTTGCCTGAGCCAAATGCGTCATATGCATGAACTTGCTGATCAGCTTGTACCCCAAGATGAGCAGCATGATGCGCATATGTATATGTGTCCCCATGTACCTTCTGCCTGTGAGAGTTTGACTTCCTTCGTTTCATGACATTCTCACCCAGCTTGTTCGCGAACTCTTTGGCCTGCTCTGCGGACACTTGCATGCCTAAGCTGGCCATAACCGTCAGCAGGTTTTCTGCTGTGATTTCATCCTGCATGGATTCGTCTGCTTCCTTCTCCTTGTCCTTCTCGAGCTGCTGGTTGTAGAGGTGGGTTGCTTCTTGCAATTCCTTCTGCACCGTCTCGATCTTGGCCTGGATCTCATTCAAATCCTGCAGGAGCTGGTGTATTGTTGCTTCACATTGTCTGCTCGAACTTGAATCGATGCCTTCTTCTCAGACAGTTGCTTGAGTGTGCCAACTGCCTGTTTCACCTTCTGGTTCAAAGGTGGTTCACTCTTCTGTGGCTCAACTATCTTTTCAACTGCTTCTTTCAAGTCCGTTGGCAGGCTTTGAAGGTGTTTGTTCCTTGATCAAGGTCGGCAGGTCAGGTGGCGGAGCTGGCTCCGCTGCTTTGACCCCCATGGCCTCAAGCTGGGTGCGTAGGGCTTCAGGGACGCTAGTCCAATGCTCTTGAAGCTTCTTCTCAATGCCCTTTGCTTTCCCTTTGCTCTTCCTGGGTGTTCTATTGCGTAGATGAGGGAGCTGTTGCTGCTTCCATTGCCGCCCACATACATTGCATGTCATAGAAGGCTTGGATAGAAGCCGGTCTTCCCAGACCCATGCCTGTCTGCAGCCGTTGCAAACAAGGTAGTTCCTTCTCATTCTCCAGGATGATGGTGTGGCCACCCTTCTTCTCGGTCCGGACCTCCTTGGGGTTCTCGTGTAGTGCCCTGCCAAGCTTCCTAAGTCCTTTGAGCCGAGATCTTGAGCCTGTGTGTATATATTCCATATTATATATATATATACATCCACACATTTCAGCCGTATTCTCTGCGTCTTTCCCACTGGCGGGGTAGGCACGAGAGCTCCGATTCTTCGCATAATCAGAACGACTTTTTGGGCCGTCTTTTTTGAATTTGTTTCTGATAGAAAAACACAAGAGTCAACAAACAATCATGATAGTCAACGGAATGTTTCCGAGACAGAAGCTTGTTTCCAGTGCTTTCCCAGTCACACATTTGGCGGGCGACAAGCAAATGGCACAGTCAGATGCACATTGGGTGCAGGTTCGGTTGGATGTACCTGTCAGACTCGGCACTCTTGTTTTGCAGTGTTTAACCAACATCCCTGAGCAATCCCTATCACAGCGATTTTTGTCAAGGAAGAATCCACATGTGACAACTTCTGACAAAGCGTTGCTTTCAGACCTGGCCTGTGCCTTCCGGATAGTAACCGTCAGGACACATGTCTTCACAGGTCCATTTCGAAGGGTTGAGATATTTTGAGTTGGCGCAGTGCAAACACCTAGGCCAAAACAAATGGGAAACAACAACAGCAAACAACCAATACAAAAGAATCAAGCACTCTCACCTCATCGTTGCGATTCCAGGCACTCTCCATTGGTGCTGCATTTCAAACAATTTGGTGGGCAATCTGAATCGTCTAGTGACCTCCGAAGCATAAGGCAAAGTTCTACAACAATGCAAAAGCAACACTACTTCGAAGCTGCAAGCAATATCAGACATGCAGTCTATCAAACTGCAGCCTGCCGTCCGCAAATATGAAAACATCTTCTGATCTGCCTGGCCCAGCACACGCCCTCCAGCGTGGTCAGAAAGAAAAAAATCAGAAGTTATGCCAACATAGACGACCCCAAATAACTTGACCAGCAGGAACTGTTGTTGTGGATGGCAAAATATGGCAAATGGTGTAGGTTCATGTTGTCGGCATCCTCGCCGTTCAAGCAACATAGGAAAGCATTGGAACGAAAGCTGGCAGACGCCAACAGCATAAGAGGAGAACCGTGCAGAAGAGACAAGATTGACAAGATCCAAACAGCACAGAACACCCTGAACAACATGGGCAAATAACAGGCAAACAACAGGAGGACAAAGGAGGGACTCTGGCTGTGGACACAGGAGGACAACATACACAGGCCTTGCAGGTGTGACAAGGCTGTGGACAAGGCCAAAACAAAGCAGGGACAGGTGTGGGAACACTGGAAAAACAGGAGGACAACATCCAGACACATGATTCGCCAGTGCAGCCACAGATTGTGGTATCAGAGAACCCCAACAACAAGCTGATCCTATGCAAATGCAATACAATTGCGCTTGCAACGTGCCTGCACTTGCAAGGTGGTTCTTTCGGAGGTCCTTCGATGATTGAAAGACTTGGTAACTCCATCGTTTGTACGATCACCAGCAACACCCAGCTTGACTTTCCAGTTCTAACTCCTATCAATTGCATGTTTGTGCAAATGACTGAACCACATGCCAAACAAAATCCCGGCAAAGCCTTGTCGACTCTGCTTGCGCCCGTGCTCATGAAGGATCTCCCGCATGTAGGCCTTCAGTGGCAAAACTACAAACGGCACAAATGACTTGTGCATGTGTATATATATATATAGTAATTGTAGTAATAGTAAAAATAATATATAATAGTAATAGTAATAATGATATAATAATAGCAATAATAGTACATGAACCATCTTGACAGTTGGATTTATTTGGTATTGTTGAATCCCCCAGACCCCGACCGAGAGCCACTGAAGCATCGTTTGATGCTGCAACCTGCAAAAAATAACCTGAAACCAACTGGAACATGGTCTTCCAGACCTCACCGGAGCTTTGCACGCTTGAGACCTTGCAGTCCAGAACCTGCCTGGACCTGGAAAAGCTTCTGGAACCTCCTCAAACGGTCTGGAACTCTACCGGCACCCACAATGGAGTGGAAGGGAGTTCCTGCCCCACTACCTTTTCTGCTGGTGAAATCAGATTGGGTGAGGCAAGGCGAGGTTGGATCTGGCAGTATGAGAGACAAACGGCTTGATAAAGAAAGGCCTTGATGACGCATATTTATATATATATATACATCATATGTATACTTGAGAGGCGGGGAACGAAAGCGATGACAACGACGAATGTGATAACACCTTTAAAATCTCCTGGGGATGATGTTTGTGATGTCGCGTGTTTAGGGGGTGGGGGAGGCCCCCCCTTAATCAATATCGCTTCAACTCGTTAAGGCGGGGAGGGTCCTATTGATTCGCTTCACACGAAGGGGGGGGGGGGGCTGTTTGAAGTCATTGTTCAATTGATCCCTTCGATTTTGACCTATCTAATAGCAAACTAGAACTTCAGCTGACCTCCTTCCGAGATGGCTTTCGTGACATATATATATATCATATGTGTATATATATATATATACATGTGTATATATATATATATATCATGTATATATATATATATCATATGTATTATATATATATGTCATATATATATATGATGAAATAAATGGAAAACCAAGTGAATTCAGGCTCTACCACCACACCGCTGCTCTCAAGGTGGGCAAAGCAGGTCTGGACCTGAATCTGTCGGGTGGAGTTCCGTGCCACCACAGCAACCCACAACATACAGCTAGCTAGAAGTGGGAATTCGAACAATAAGAGTCTCAAAAGAGCCTGCGAGAAGCTTAGAAAAGGTTTGAAGTGTCGCAAGTGAAGTGTAGACACTTGTCAAACCAAAGTGAAAAAAGTCTTCAAAAATGAAGTTCCCAAATCATGCCCATCAGGTTTCACCTCCACAGCTACAGCTAGCTGAACTTTCTGTAGGACAATTGAAATTTAGCCTGAACACAGCGCGTTCTACAAAAGAACACCATGAATGACGAGCCACCGTAGTAAGGATAGCGTGAAGAAAGCCAGAAAAGAGGCCCCAAGTCTGGCCTTGAACAGGCAAGCAAACATGCTCTCCCTCAAGAACCCACATGGAACATGGACATTGTGCAAGGAGCCATGTCTGAAAGATTTCGCTAGTAACCGATAGTAAGAAGTTTTGAAAACCATGTAAATTTCTGGAAAAAAACTGCTCTTGATCTCGCAACGAAACCCTTCGTTTCGAGGCTGCTGCCATATGTGTAGAACCTTACAGCGTGCAGCAGATTCACGGCAAAGAGATGTAGCCCTCTCCGAAAATGAAAAGCTTCCACTTTTGCCGAGGCATTATATAGCTATGAGAACTGGGGTTGGTGGAAAGAACAAATGCAAAAGTTAGACTCCAACTTTTTTGACCCATTCAGCTATCAATCGAATCTGTTCACTCAACCTCATACACACTGGCCAACATAATACAATAAACCATTGACAAAACATTTTTTGGCATTTTCGATTGGCACATTCCAACGCAGCCAACATGAATATCTCACAACACAACCTAACACAACAATCATCAACCAACTAGAAGAATGTCATGTGCAACAAACACAAGGCCAAAAAGTTGCAAAACAATGATGGGCAGGGTGACCTAAAAATATCCATGTCACACTATACTGTGTAACCCAGTCAGGGGATTTCACGTTCAATCAAATACAACATATTAACATTGTGGCAACCTGCTGTTTCAATGAAAAGTGCGCACCTACTGAAAATGAATTCAATCTTCTGAACACGTTTCTTCCAACAGCCTCTTGCCAACAAGCAACAAGTCAGCAAACAATTTGTCAAACAAATAGAACAAGAATCAACTATATAAATCCTTCCAACCACAAGACGTTTGACAACTCCACAAAGGAAAGGAGATGATCCAGTTGCAAGCCTTGGATTGAATGCACCAACCCGAAATGGCAGGATGAGTTGTGCCTTGAAGCGCAGCTGAGAAACCGTGGAACAGGCAAACTAACATTAGAGAGGATTTTGGTACATTGGTGGCTGGAGCACTAGCACTCGAGCCAGCTGTAAAAGAGTTCCAATATCCTGGGGAACATGTTGTTGCAATCATGGGAGTGACTGAATAACATGAAAAGTTGACGAGCAACTATCACATTTGGATTGTGCCATGCTTTAAACTAATGATGCCACCGACACTGATTTGTTCGCAACAGCAGTGGCTGGCACATGCCTCAATAAACACAAAAGCCACCCATAACATTGAGAACATGCAATTGCAGCCCCAATTTTGCCAATGACCGAAGTATGAAATATGGAACATATTTTGCAACTTTCAAGCAAAAACACACACAATCCAAACGGCCCACTCACTCCTGCAAATTTTTGAGCTCAAGATTTGACATGTGGAAAACTTATCACAAAACCACACCTCGATTGTGATCTTCGAAAAGGAATCGTTTCAAGTTATTGTGTTTCTGCACAAAACAAATGATGTGAATCATGTTTGGTCGTAGTATGAGAGGCGAGAGGTTACATTCTTGTCTACCCACCCCCATGTTCCTCATTGTTTTTCCGACGTTCTAGACATTGAAGAAAAGTGCTCAATGACTCAAGGGCGATAATCAGTGATGCATGAAACATTTCTACCTTCCGCTCTCGAAGTCCCAAACAAATTTGAATATTAAGGACCCCGTAGTAAGGGGATGGACTCGCCAGTGATAAGTTCCCATCAGTGAGTGGTTGGGCATAAAGACAGGACGCGCTATATGCACTACGCACCAAACTTTCGATCTGATGGTTGAACGCAGAGTCGGGTTTTCTACAGGTGAGCCAGTTTTGGAACCGAACTAGCGAGTGTTTTTAATGTACAGCGTTCGCCATTGGGCGCCAAACATTCAAGCCTTCAGTGAGAAAAAGGCCAATGCGGCAACAATCCGAACAACCCGCAGTCCAAGATCATCGAAGAAAATGATATTAGGGTTCCTTTGTTTTGAACTGTCCTCCATCACATGAAACTTCACTGTCCAGAAGGAGCGGCAATCAAATGGCTCAGTTTGGTGGTGGGTCACATTTTCGTCCCGGCGCTTGGCAGCACACATCTTCAAAATGCTGATGCTGAAAACAAATTCACCCTGCACTGTCCTCATAGACGCTGGACTGCACCACGCGCATAGCTCGACCAACCTGCGGTTAATCCCCAGCATGGCAGCAAGCAATCTGGTGGTAGCAACTTCCGCTTTGGGGTACCACCCACGCAAACCCTTCTACTTTGCGCTGCTTGCGTCATCAATTGACTTGTTCTCATTTTTCTTTCAGGATTCCCCTTTCACGTTCGTAGCCGCAGCCCGCAATTTTTTTCCATCCTTTTTCTTTCCCTTCAGGATCTTGCAGCCTTTGAATTCATCCTGAACCTCTGTCAAGTCCATCCTCAGTTCTTCAGTTTCTGTCTTCGTCCATTGTTGATCCCTCATCTTTCTCACGTGGCTCTTCTCTTCGGCGAGCTGTCGAATCCTCTCTCTTCTGCTTCTTGCTGTAGTCCCACTTCACCATCGACTTACATAGGTTCAAGGGCCCAAGAAACCCCAGTCGTGAGACAATGGCAAATATAGTTCACTCCATCATCGTCTTCTTGCCTTGCCGCTTTGATCTCTTCTCGCGCGCTTCCTTTGAGCAACGCCATTCACCATTTCAATCACCATTGCAATCTTGGTTCCATTTCCTTTGAACGCTTTGCCCATCTGTCTGCACTGTGACATTTCAGTCCTTTCAACCTGGTTTTGCTATGCCTCGTTTCCACAATTTCTCAAGTCGGGGCGCGCGCGACAGAGGAGTTGATGAACATATCAAGTGGGCGTGCCATCAAAGGAGGGTGCAGCCCCAGTCGAAGCGCATTTCAAAGACCCCTCCTCCTCCACGATCAGTCACACCGACAGCACCACGGTCAGCGTAGCTCAAAGGAGAAAGTGCCACTGGTCATAATGTCTTTGAAGATTCTCTGAGTTGTCTTCCGTGTGAACTCTGTTGAACTCTGTTGGATGGTCTCGATCGTTTCAATCTCTGTTCCAGTCGGGGGTTGATGCCACCAGTTTCTTGCGTCTGTCTTGCGCAATTTTTTGGCGAAAATGAGATCTGCTGGGTTGATTCTGTTACAAAATCGCGGCCCTTTTTCCTCTCCGAATCACTGTGCAAATTTTGTACATGCGCGCGTGTCATCTGTGCGAAGGACCATGCCAACTTCTGTCACCCCGCCTTGGACTTTGACAATGGTTCTGTCGACATTCTGAATTCTCTCGCTCAGCTTTTCACCTGGTTCCTTTCTTTGGCCTCTTCCAGGTGCTGTCACAATTTTTTTTGCCGTCGATGTCGATGATGGGTTCCACTCTTTGCTGTCTGCAGACATCATGTATGGGTCGACGTCTGATTCGGTAACCAAACGGTCGGATTCGGGAACTATGATTCGGTAACCAAAGCGCTGATTCGGTAACCAGAACGTCTGATTTGGTAACCAAAGCGTCTCATTCGGTAACCAAAACCGCTGATTCGGTAACCGGTAACCAAAACCCACTGATTCGGTGACCAAAACCGCCGATTCGGTAACCAAAGCCGCTGTTTCGGTAACCAAAACCGCTGACTCGGTAACCAAACCAGGAAACCAAAACCAAAAACATTTCCAAAAGAAGAAACTGATGACCCGGGTTTAGCAGCAGTAGTAGTAGTAGCAGCAGCAGGAGTAGTAGTAGCGGTAGTAGGAGTAGGAGTAGTAGTAGTAGTAGTAGATGTTGTAGTAGTAGTAATAGTAGTTGTTGTTGTTGTTGTAGTAGTAGTAGTGGTGGTGGTGGTAGTAGTAGTAGTAGGTGGTGGCTGGCAGCAATGAAGGCGGAACCTGGTAGGCAACGATTGGGAAAACCACAGCCTTCAAACCCGGTATTTCCACAAAGTCGAGAATGAAGGACAGTGTGAGGTGACCACCAGGGTTCAAAAGGGAGTGTCAAGAGGCTTGCACCTCCCGTACCTCCCCCCGAGGGGGGAGGTCACAAACGAAGCACACCAAGCATACTCAGCTCACAAACAGCTCAGCGAAATGAACTAAGCGTGACGTGCTTCTAGGAGAGACAACCCAGATGACGTGTGCTGCAAAGGTCTCGTTTAGTCATCTGACTGCATCTGACTGCATCTTTCAAACGTGGCCAGAACAGTCAGCCAATCCATGCAGGGCCCCACGAACTATCCGAAAATAAGTGAAGAAGTGAGACAAGGTGAAACGCCGTTTTCCTAATTCTGTACACTGTACTCATCCAGATCCACTACGCGGGTAGCAGTCTGGGACTGTCTAACTACTCAGGTCAACGAAAGGCAAGCAGCACAGCACCATAGAGTGGGACTCCTAGGACCAGCACACGGGTGCAAGTCGAAGCACTAGCAAGCACTAGCGACATTGCATTTGCAGTCATGCGTATCGAGCGGTCCTATTGCAATTCAAGTCCTAGTGACAGGCACTCCTGCATGGGTCCTCCTGGATGGTTTCTTGATGGACAGTAGACACGTTTGGACACTCTACGGGGGTAGCGTCTGACCTGGACTAGGCCAGCACACAGGTGCCAGCAAAAGCCTGGCAGCCGTCAAATCGCCAGAGCATGTCTTTAATTGAGGGCAGGAAAGGAGTCGTCTGCCCATTGATCATCGTCTTTTTGGCTGCGTGGCAGCCACCGAACCCACTTCGGCATATCTAGGTTATCACATCTAAGAAAAGCATTTGCACGAGCATATGCTCCCCTCCAAGTCAAGCTTTTGTCAGTTCTTTCAAATCGATTGAGCTGCGTGCACCCTCCAAATGCTCGTCTTGCAATATAGAGTAGTGTAGGGGGCACATGAACCTCCGTTAAGGAGGCACATTTTAGGAAGGCCTCCTGTTGGATCTTTCGGAGTTTGTCCGGAAGCTTGAGAGTTCGCAAGTGCTTGCAGTGTGCAAATGCACAACTCATGATTTCCTTGATTTCCGTCCTTGAGAGGTCCACTAGTTGCAGCTGCAAACAGCGTTCACAGGCTGCTGATCCCATCCATGAGAAGTCTGGAGGCAAGTTCAGCTCTGTTAGGCCAGCTTCTAAGAAGCAGCATTCCGGTAAGCATCGCATCAGTCTGGTAGGTTTGTGCTCCGATAGCTCGAGGTTGATGTGACGCAACGCTGTGCATTTGTGGAAGGCTCGAGGCCTTAGCTCTGCCTGCGGCGCAAGCTGGTTGACAGTGTCGTTATTGATTCCAACTTGTAGCAAGGCAACGCACTCTTCAAATACCTGTGCTCCAAATTCTCTACAACCTGGGGCGAGGACTCTGCGCAGTGCATAACAGCGGCTAAAGACTCGCGTTTGCAGGCTAATAACTGTGCTGTCTAGATGCACAATCTGGAGATGTTGGCAATTGTGCCATGCACACTCTCCTATGATCCGATAACCTGCATCAACTTGCACATGCCGTACCCTTGCAAGATGCGAGAAAGCTTGTGGGAATATTCTGTCACTGGCTTGAAAGGGGACTCGGAGGGCTTTGGTTTCTCCTTGCATTTGTCCCTTATGTTCAGCTTTCTCTGCACAGGGGCTCACGACGACCGTAAAGCAATTACAGTCCCGCAGGGTTTGCCAGATGGGATCGACTAACTTCTGTTGCGAATTGCGGCAGACAAAGTCCAGCTCGCAACAAAAGGTGCTGCTTGTGCCTAGTTCGGGAAGTTGTTCCAGCACCGCATTTTCAAATTCCTGAAGACGGTCATATTCTTGCAGTTCAATTGTTAGCTGGGCTTCCTCCCCCGCCAGTGTGGTCAAGATCAGATGTATGACCATTGACCTTTCTTCGCTCCACTGTGAGGTAGACACAGACATATGGTCAGCAAGCATGGCAGGCACCACCCTGTGCAGCAGCGCTCCCTTATCGTTGAGCCAAAATACATTGCGGCAGACTACGGACATGGCGGGTCCTCCATTATTGACCATGACTACCAGCAGCTACCGCTATTGGCCCATAAAGGGGAACAACTGCACGGGCAGTCATTCATAATTAATTCACGTAATTTGTTGTCAGGAAAGGATCACTTCA